ACACTGCATGCTTCATAGACTTTTCAGTGAGCATTAACATCGACCAACATAGCCTACGACCATGCCACTTCCTTTAAATCGATGCCTCCAAGTTCTTCCTGGACGCCGAGGGCAGAACTAAAGACACCACCAAAGAGAAGAAGTGCATACCAATGTCGGGTGCATCAGGGAAGGGAAAGGGAAATGTTTTGATAGTTTGGCGGGATCTTGTGGTCCAGATAGGTACCCTGATCCACTAGAGAACTTCCCATTAGAGGGTAAGAAGGATTTCCGTCCACCAAGTAGGTTGCGACCATATGATAACAGGAAAGAAGAGTGGACAAAATGTTGCAATGGTGAGAACTGTGTAGTGTAGGTCTATGACGGTGGCCTTGATGGAGGGCGTCGGTTCTTCGGATGCCCTCAAGGATGGGTAAGTCATACCACATATCTTATCGTAGTAGTCATCTTCTGCATACTAACATTACGTATTGTGTAGAGCTTCGATGACGAGGACAACTGTAGTTTCACTAGATGGCTTGATCCACCACCCATTTACCCGTACAAAGAATACATCCAGTATCTACAAAACCGCATATTTAACCTTGAAAGGGAGGTTGAAACCATGTCCGCACCCAAAGAAGAAAATACTCAAGAAGAAAGAAGGACAAGATGTTCCGATGGAAGACAAGGCAGTGTGCAATGATCCTTATTGCAAGTGCACCTGTCATGGAAACATGGCACCTCCTCCACCCCGTCCACCATGTCCTCCTGCATACGGTGGAAATTGGTACTATGGACAAGGCTCTTCACAGTTGTCCTCGTAGCAATATGTGTTTTCTAGATGCGAGAGTGATTAGGACCTAAGTTATCTTCGGTGAAGTTTGAACAAATGAATCGCATGTCTTTGAATCCTTAGTTTGTGCTTTGTGTGTTTGCTGTTTCATTTAATTACCTAAGGCATATTAGGTTTAGCTCAGGACCTCTTTACCAAGCTTTCATACATGTCCTCACATGCCATTTCATGTGTTGTTTGTGTTTAGTTATGTACTGCACTACTTCCTTAGCTTTTAATTCCACTACGTGAACTCGTTTGATTAACTGTGCAATATTGAAATGCAAATTATGACCACCATGAATGAAATAACAACACACTGTAAAGGTGTAGTACATGGGAACTACACACTAAAAAACTATAGTACATGGGAACAACACACTACATCAGTCCAAAAGATGCAATAAATGACAACACACTGAAAAGTCCACTACATGACAATCAGTCCAAAAGATGCAATAAATGACAACATACTGAAAAGTCCACTACATGACAACATTGTTCACTACTAAACATGAAACTACCAAATCTAACAGACTACTGAGTGCAACGAGGCCACTTTCCCTTCTTCAAAGCATCAAGATTCTCCTCCATTGCTGCTTTCGCACGGCGAACACGCTCAAGCTTCTTGTCCCTCTCCTCCTTGCGCTGAGCAGCATGCCTCATTTCAGCCTCTTCTGTGCGCTCCTTTTCTGCTGCCTCCTCTTGGCGTCTCTTCTCCAACAACTCCTTCCGCTCCACCTCCCACTCCTTCAATTTCCCTAGATACAACATGTCTTTCTCCTTGATCTCGGTGTCGATCCACTGCTCAAATTCACAAAGCGGTGGAGGGGTCTGCAAAACATGCAGCTGTTACACATACAACCTAATAAACCATACATGATTTCATATGGCACAAAAAAAATATCGCACAATATAAATTTCTCACTATCAACCCAATGCGGATTTGACGAGGTGTAGGATCAAACGCGTAATTGTCATGCATCCAGTACCTCTGCTTGTACGTTTCCTCTTCTTCGGAAATTGCTACCGTGCAAGGATCGCCGCAGTAGCACATCGGCACTGGCACACCACTAGGCAGTGGCAAACGGGCGAAGACAGTTCCCACCACCGTCCTATTCCACAAATAGAACCAATTTTGTTCTAAAAACCGAAAGCAATCAACTGTATAAATCAACCTAGGGTATCCATTTCTTGCACATTGATATATTAACAGCAAAATAGAACACGATGGACAGAGGTTACCTTGGTTTACTAGATTTACCATGCCTTGGCATCGTAGCACGAGAGAAAGAGGGCGCCGTCGTACCTACGGTTGCATAATACACATAGCACTAATTGCTTCGAACCCTAAGTAATGACGTACCTACGGTGGCATAATACACGTAATATAGACCAAATCAATGCGTGCAAATTGAGGAGGGAGCATAGGATACCTTGCTCTTAAAGATTTATGGATCAAATTAAAGTTTCCGAGATTCAATATGTCGATTGTAGAGGTTGGGAGGAATGGGGAGAGGGATAAACCGAGAGAGTGCAAACAAATGCAACAAGGCTCGGTCAGGAAAGGCTGGGGCGACGTTTTTGATTCCATGGTCGGCGCTATGGATCTTGGCGCCGACCTCGGAGCCATGGTAGCCGGCGCCTACCTTGGCGCCACGGATATCAGCGCCAAGACCCACGGCGCCGAGCTAGGCTGCCACGTCACCCCCATGCATGGCACCGCCCTCGCACCTAGGTGCCAAAGCAATGGGCGCCAAGACGTGTAATCTCGGCGCCAATTGCAACGGCGCCAACCGCAGGGTCTAGTTTTTAAAGGATTCCTCTAGGGATGCATTTGTGAAAATCTTTAAAAAAAAGGCAAAAAAAAATCGGGGAAGTAGCAGGGCTAATCATAGGATTTGACGATAATGACCCTGGCCGCTGCTACGTTTCCTGCGCACCGCATCGCACATCCAGGATCCAGGTCCACCCGGATATTCGCTGTGGCTGCGAGAAACTTGTACTACTCCTACTCCGGCATCTGAGCAACAGCTAGGCCCATAATGTCGCCATTCGGGTACAGCACAGAGCCTTGGACCGACTCGAGTTAGCTAGTAGGACAAAGGGGCTGTTTGGAACTGCTCCGCTCTCGTTTTTCCAGCTCCGCTCCACTAATTCCACCATGAAGCAGCTCCACCATAGAGTTTATAGATTAAGTGGTACTATTTGGCATACAAGCTAGCTCCAGCTCTAAAAATGGATTGTTTTCATACAAATGGTCCATTATGTCCTTGATTGAAATTGAACTCGATATTTTCTAAAAAAATAGAAAACAAATGATAGAAAAATTAACAAAGTCCATAACTCGATATAAAAGAAGTAGTAGTATATATAAGACATCTTTGTGATTGCATCTTGAATAACAAGTGTAGTGGTTGACTTAGCCTTCTTTTTCGGATCAGCAGCTACACCAGGGCATTTTCCTGCAGGTGCACTAGGCGTAACAACCAGGGGCTTGGCCGTTGGTGCCATGGCCACCAGGAGGCACTGCAGCGCGGCCCGGTGCCTGGCCACTGGCTAACCGAGGCAGGAGAGGACCAGCCAGCGTAGGAGGCCGGCGTAGAGAAGAAAAAGTCGTCTTTTTTCTCGCGGCGTCCATACGGGAGTCGAAGAGAGGGAACCTATGATTAGAGAGTGACATAATTATTCCTCAATTCTACGTGGAGTATAAAACTTCAAAAACTGAAGTATTCCTTGAGGTGCTAAAAAAAAATGTGAAGTTACCTTCTAACTTCACGTTTTTCTTAGAGCGGAGTTCCTGGAGGCGTTTGGCAATACGGAGCTAGAGCGGAACTGAAAAAACAGCAGCGGAGCAGTCCTAAACACCCTCTAACTAGCCTAGCCAAGCCAGTTTCGTTTGCTTCTTCACCTGCAATCATCAAGTAGTTAAAAAGACTACCATTTCTTTTTTTTCTTTTTACTCTATGAGGTATTGTTTGAATGTTGTTGTATTGATCTCAATCCACATGTATTGGTGTAAATTAGGGTGAAATTTAGTTTAGATTTTACTTTAATTCACCTCAACACATGTGGATTAAGGTGGATAGCTTGTTTTCGGTTATTCAGATTAGTAGGAGTATTAACGGAGCAACGATGGTTGGTCTGGTCTCGAGTCTCACGATCTCATCCTGTGCTGAGCTGTTATCTCAAAAAAAAAAAATCTCCTGTGCTGAGCTGCTGAGCTGTGCCTGTTGCATGTACTACCTTGGATCACTTGTCCTGTCCACCCGTATGACTCGTGTCCACGTGTGCTGGATCACTTGCCATTCAGGCTGTGTTTAGTTCGTGAATTTTGGGAATTTGACTACTGTAGTATTTTCGTTTTTATTTGGCAATTAGTGTTCAATCATGGACTAATTAGGCTCAAAACGTTCGTCTCGCAATTTCCAACCAAACTGTGCAATTAGTTTTTTTCGTCTACATTTAATGCTCCATGCACGTATCGTAAGATTCGATGTAATGGCTACTATAGAACTTTTTGGGAAACTTTTAGAGGACTAAACAAGCACTCAGTGATCTTGTTTGTAACTGGGCACTTCATTCTAAATGGCAAGTTGTTCTAAAATTCTAACTTTTCTAGACACATAGCTTTTGTTACGCATCTAAACACGCATTATATCTAGATACGTAATAAAAAAACCATGTATCTAGAAAAAAAATCCAAACGACTTATAATTTAAAATTGAGGGAGTAGGTGGGGTGGAGGGGTAGTAAGCATACTTGCCGATCGTTATCCTCCCTAAACATTTTTTCAAGTGCTGATAAAGTATTCTTCCCATTTCAAATTATAAGTCGTTCTGATTTATTTTAAAGATACATAGCTTTTATTACGTCTCTAAACATAATGTATATTTAGATGTGTAGCAAAAACTATGTACCTATAAAATCTAGGACGATTTACAACTTGGGACGGAGGGAGAAAATTGTAAGTCATTTTGGCTTTTCACTAATTTTGTTCACGTATCTAAACATTTGTTTTCATTATTGATATTTACAGCCATTACAAAACTGTAAAAATCTTCGGAATGTAACACAACAACTCAACTTCTCAACAATTATTGCTCCACAAAATATAGCCTAATGGTTCACATCACCACCATGCTCCTCCAATACATAAAAAAAAATCTATGTGAGACATCCGAAGCTACTCCTGCTTTTGCTGCAGATCATCTCCATACCAGGCCCAGACTATGTCCTTCAGCCCTGGCCGGATGTCCTCTTCCAACAGTTTCTGGTACTCAACTGAATCACCGCTTGTTTGTTTCATCTCAATGAGATGGTAGGATGGTGTAATCTCAAAGATCTCCGTGTCAAACTGAAGGACACCATTCCTCCCCTCCCTCCTCCCTTGAATCTTGACAATGCCATTATCCTTCTTCCTTATCCTGAGATTCAGTGCTTTTGCAACCTCTTCAAGCTTTGAGATGATGGCCAAGGCAGGCTTATCTGAAGTGAACCTTGTCTCCTTTCTACACTCCTTTTTGATAAATAGACCAGACAGGTCCAACCCTGTCGAGAATGAGATAATTTCAAAGGCATTTAGGTTTGTGGCAGCCAGGTGCTTCATATCTTCGTGAGCAATCTTCTTACGCCTAGTAGCAAGCACTGGGGCAGCATTTGTGGTGGCATTCTCATTAAGAATTTTCTCCTTTACTGCGCGGATCTCCCCAGGACCCTTTCGGAACCAGGTAGACTCTTTTATCTTCTGAATTGAAATTCTTGTGCTCGGGTTGGGGTCGAGGATCTTGTACAACAAGTTTGTGTGAAAACCAACTGGGGCACTGAAATCACCATGCTGTATCTTCCTATACATCTCCATCAAGTTTGGGCCTCGGAAAGGGAGATAGCCAGCAGCAAGAACAAACAGGACAACACCACTGTTAGTTGATCTCCACCAATAGGCCCAACGGCCTATTGGGCCCTTGGCTCTGCTCCCTGATTGGGGGAGCCCAACCCTAACTGGTTGGTGGGCCCCTGTCGCACATCATACAAAGACATATAAATAGAGAAGGTGGGGATCGAGCTCAAGTAACGAGGTTCACTGGAGCCGCAATCCCACCTAAAGAAAACCCTAATACCGATCCTAAAGCGTGCTTTGCCAATGACGGATGTACCCCACCATTGCCGTCTCCCACTGCAGTCACCGCCGTCGCCCCATCAGATCGTCACTCGCCTCCTCTCATCAAGACGCCGAGCAAACCTTTGGCGTCCGCGAGGTCTGCATCTAGGGCGGCATCGGCGTCCACGCTGCCGCTTGCGGTGAAGCTCCGCAAGGTTGAGGAGCCTAACTACGGATCTATGGGTTACACACAGAAAGGTACTCACATCGATCCTAACAATGGTATCGAGGCGGGTTACCTCTGTATCCCTAACCCTAACCGGGTAAAAGCAAAAGAAAGAGAGACCGGCTCACGGCCTACGGTCATCACCGCCACCGCAGCGTGGGGAAAAGGAGCCACACCGTTCGACGGCCAGCGCATGCAAAAGTAAAGGAAAAAACGAGATCCGTGTTCGATCGAGAGAAGAATAAGAAAAGTAAACAAGATCCATTCGGATCATAGAAAAGGAAGGGCCATCGGCACTTGAACTCTAACCCTAATCGGGTTAAAGAATGGATGAAAAGAAAGAAAAGGTTTTCGCCTTTGAGATGAACAAAGCCGAACCCTAAATCCAAAAAGAAAAAAGAAATCAAAGAAAAGAAAGGAAAAGAAAAGAACAAAGAGAAAAGAAGGGTCGGAAAACTAACCTAACCCTAGATCCCGATTCGGATGAACTCCAAAGAGGAAAACCGAATCGGTCGAATCAAAAGAAAGAAAAGAAATAAAAGAAAACAGAATCGAACCCTAGAACCATTCGGATGTTAGAGAAAAGAAAGGGGAAAAGGGATCTCAAGAACCCTAAGACCTAACCCTAACTCGCATGGAGAAAGGGCTAACCCCAATCGGTCAAACAAAGAAAAGCATCCAAATCCGAAGGGAAGGGGAAAAGAACAGGGTCGGGACACATTGAAACCTAACCCTAATCCCATTCGGATGAACAAGCGAAAAAGAAAATAGTGAAAACCCCATTCCCAAACCCTAACCCCAATTCAAGGCGTCGGTATGAAGAGAGAAGAGAGACGGGAAGAACGGAAAAGAAAGAACCTCACGGGCGTCGCGAAACCTTTCGCCGACGCTGGAGAAGAAAGACCGCCTGAACCGGTGTTCTGCTGCTCGCTCGGGCTCGGCAAAGATCATCAAAAGCCGCTCGACGGCGACAGCTCACCCATTGGGGAAGCGCGCCGCGCCGAGGCGAGGGCAGCAATGATGCCATGGATGCCCGCCTCGCTCCACCACTCGCTCTCGTCTGCTCTCGGTTACGCTTTCGAGAAGAGAGAGAAAGGTAGAGAGAGAGAGAGCGGCGAGAGAGAAAGAAGAGAGAGAAGCGAGACTTGAATGGTCTAGGGTTTCCAGTCGAGGACGCGCCAGCGGTTTTTGTTCATGTGAAAATCGGCCTTACAAATAGTCGATCTCCATCGGACGGCCGAGATGGAACAGGGCCAGTGATGCTCGCGCCCAAGCGAACACGTGCGGTAGTCGCTTCTTGTGCCCAGTTATGACTTGGTGCGGCAAATGAAAACGGAGAATAGATTTGGGCCGAAATGGTTTTACCGGTTGGGCGAAAAAAGGAAAAGAATCAAGATCAGTTTTTCTTTTCCAATGAATTGCTAATTTCTGGAAAATGAAAAATAGATCAAAGAAAATATGAAGAGTGATTTTACCATGGGTAAAATTCAAGAAATTGAGCATATGTTTTCCGGAAAAGTATATTCTCCATTATATTGAACCAACATGGTATTTACTTGGAGAAAAGAAAAGTTTTTCATTGCTAAAGAAATTGTTGATTCTCCAGTTATTTTGAACCAATGCGATATTTAATTGGAGAAAAGAGTTTTGATATGATTATGATGTTGTTATTTTCGACCAACGTTGTTAATAACAATATCGTAATGCTAATGATTTATGCATTAATTTTACTTACGCTTAGCGGTGATGTAGAATTAGTGTATAAGAAAAGTTGATAATTTTAATGATTTATGCATTGATTCTACTTCGCCCAACGGTGATGTAGAATTAGTGTGTAAAACAGTTTGTCAAAGTTAAAGATTTATGCATTAATTCTATTTACGCCCAGCGGTGATGTAGAATTAGTGTATAAGAATAATTGTATGTTTTGTTTTTGACCAACGTTGGAATCAAGGCATGCAAATGATGTGTTATTTTTATGTTAAGAAAAGTTTTGACCTGGTTTTCATCTTGTCTAAGGTGGACTGGGTAGTCACCTCACCGTGTTCCACCGAGTTTGGGGCACCGTGAGGGAGACAAAAGAATGATGCCACTTGGGCAACTAAAGAGAGGGATTTTGAATCCCAAAAGATAGTTCTATGACTTTGAGCATAGGAAGTGTGTCACCGCCAACCGTAAATGTTTGGGTTTGTGATAAAGAACATGATTGAGCTTGCAATTGTGGGCTCAATCTCGCAGTGTGACACGGTCACCAAATACCTCGATAGAATAAAGAGTCAGTTCATTTGGCTATTCAAAGACATATGCCACTTAGCTAATAAAAATGGTCACAGTGTTACTCTGAAATGGTGGCATAAGAGAGCTCACGATGCGTTGTCGAAATTATGGCAGCTGCGTTTAGGCCATATTTCGAGGGGAGAATAGAAAGACAAGTTAAGAATGATATTCTTCCTCCATTAGAGCTCTCAGATTAAGTTCAATGCAGAGAGAATGCATAAAAGGAAAGTATGTAAAGAAAGATGACAAACGAAGCACGAAATTTTACAGATTATTCACACCGACATCGTGGTCGCTTTCCCTTAAAGAGTGTGGATGGTTATGATCCATTCACGAGATGATTACTCCTATTATGACTATATTTATCCAATCAAAGAAAGAAAAGATGTATTGGATAAATTTAAGATATTAAAGATTAAGATAGTCGTGAATCTGACCATGGGGGAGTACTACGGTTGGCATACCCTAAAAGAATGGCATAGTAGCTCAAGATCCTACAATCGAGCGAACCTCAAACAGAATAAAGTAGGTAAAAGAATCAATCGTACTCTCGATGGATATGGTGGGCGTTATGATAAGTTACTCCACCTTACAGCTTGAACTCAGTGAATGAAGGCGTTAAAACCGTCATTTATATTCTCAATAGAGTATCAAGAAAGTCGGTGCCCAAAACACCGTATGAGTTGTGGATGAAAGAGTACTCTCACTAAACCACTTGCGTGTGTGTGGGGGAGCCTACTTGAGGCTAAAGTATTTAACCCAAACATTGGAAAGTTATATCCCAAAACAATGAAGTTGCCATTTTATTGGCTACACAGAAAAGTCAAAAAGTTTTCGTTTTCCACTGTCCAGAGAGACATACAAAGTTTATGGAAACGAGACACGCTGTTTACCTAGAAGATGAAAAGATGAGGGGAGCATGGTAGCTCGAGAAATTGTCCTTGAAGTGAAGCGGGTGTATATGCCTACTCTAATGATTCATGAGCCATTTTCTCACTACTGCTTTGTAGCACTTGCACCGACAGTGCTAATCATCTTGTGGTGCTAGCACCTATTGTTATCCCACTTGTGGCAACAATGAATGACGATGAGGAACCTGTTCTTCAGGATTCTATAGAACCTATTGCCACAAACGAGGGGGAGCAACAACAGCCTCAAAATAGAAGATGTGCCGAATGTGAAGGCCCCTAGTAGGTCTCAAAAGAGTTAGAAAATCAGCTATTCCTGCTGATTATGAAGTGTACAACACTAAAGAATTTCAAATGGAGGATGATCCCGCCTCGTTTGAAGAAGCCATGAGTAGTGATCAATCATCAAAGTGGCTTGAGGCCATGGAAGATGAAATGAAATCATTGAATGCTAATAAAGTTTGGGACTTAAAAATAATTCCTAAAAGAGTCAAAACAGTAGGCTGTAAATGGGTCTACAAGACAAAACTTGACTCTCAAGGGAATATAGAGAGATATAAAGCCCGACTTGTGGCAAAAGGCTTTGTGCAAAGAGAAGGGATTGATTACAATGAGACCTTTTCTTCAGTCTCATGTAAGGATTCTTTCAGAATAATAATAGCATTAGTGGCACATTACGATTGAGAATTACATCAGATGGATGTAAACACGGCATTCCTCAACGGAGACTTGGAGGAAAATGTTTACATGGCACAACCGGAAGGTTTTGTCATGGAAAGAAAAGAACGAATGTGATGCCGCCTAAAGAAATCCATTTATGGATTAGAACAAGCTTCAAGACAGTGGTACTTGAAGTTTGATCAGACAATAAAGAATTTTGGGTTTTTAAAGAGAATGTAGAGGACAATTGTGTCTATGCAAAGTTTAAGATTGGGAAGTTTATCTTCCTTATCCTGTATGTAAATGATATCTTACTTGCTAGTAGTGATGTCAGTCTATTATAGGAGACAAAGAAGTTTTGTCCTCAAAACTTGATATGAAAGATCTTGACGAAGCCTCGTTCGTTCTAGGGATCAAGATTCACCGAGATAGAAGAAAAGGGTATAATGACTGTCACAAAAGGCATACATGGAAAAGATCTTAAAGAAATTCAGTATGCACAAATATAGTTCCTCACCTGCTCCTATAGTCAAGGGCAACAGATATGGGGATTTTCAATGCCCCAGGAACCAATATGAGCTCAATCGATAAAGTAAAAGTGGTTCCATATGCTTCAGTTGTCGGAAGCTTGCAACATGCTCAAGTATGTATGCGCCCTGACTTGGCATTTGTTACCGGGTTTTTACTTGGCAGATTCCAGAGCAATTCTGGAATAGAACACTGAAATTAGTAAAGAAAGTCTTGCATTATTTGCAAGGAACGAAAGGCCTCATGATGACATATAGAAGATCTGATTCACTCCACATGGTGGGATATTCAGATTCTGATTATGCGAGAGTGAATGCATATCCAGACGTGGATTTTCTATCATCTCGCAAAAGGGAGCTATTTCATGGAAAAGCTCAAAGCAAACCGTCACTACATAGTCCACAATGTATGACAGTTTGTAGCGTGATATGAGGCAACGGGCAGGTGAACTAACTAACGAAGTTCATACCCGGTTTGAAGGTGGTTGACGACATCTATAGACCACTAAAGTATCTGCGATTATAATCTGGCAATGCAGGATGCTCACAACATAAGTCAAGTGGTGCCAAAACACATTGACATAGAGTATTATATTGTGAAAGATAAAGTCCGGGATCAAGTCATAAATCTTGAGCATATAAGAATTCTCCGCTTTTACCACCTAACATGTTCGGAGGACATGGTGTTCAGAGAACATGTAGCTAGCTTGGGTTTAAGGGAAAGCCTAAAATATTCTGGACAAAAGAAGGCCCAAAGATAAGTATCTATTTCGAGCTGAGTTGTAGTTGTTAAGTCTATCGGCAATGGACCGTAACGATGAGACATGCTCTATGAGCTAATCTGTAATGGAATGAACAAAAGTAAAAGATATGAAAGTGAAAGATGGAATGAGATCAAGGGGGAGAATGTTAGTTGATCTCCACCAATAGGCCCAACGGCCTATTGGGCCCTTGGCTCTTTGTGATCGGGGAGCCCAACCCTAACTGGTTGGTGGGCCCTCGTCAGACAAACCTATAAAGAGAAGGTGGGGATCAGCTCAAGTAACGAGGTTCACCGGGCCGCAATCCCACCTAAAGAAAACCCTAATACCGATCCTAAAGCGTATTTGCTTCCGGGATATACCCCACCATTGCCGTCTCCCATCAAGTCACCGCCGTGCCCCATCAGATCGCCACCTCGCTCCTCATCAAAGACGCCCGGGAGATAGCGTCCATGAGGCTACATCTAGGGCGGCGTCGGCGTCCACGCTGCCGCTGCGGTGAAGCTCCGCAAGGGTTGAGGAGCCTAACTACGGATCTACGGGTTACACACAGAAAGGTACTCACATCGATCCTAACAACCACAAGACCAGATGTCTGATTTTGCACCATCATAGCCTATCTTGCTGATCACCTCTGGAGCTACATACGCCGGTGTTCCACAGGTAGTATGGAGCAGGCCATCTTGCCTCTTTGACTCTGAAAGTGCGCTCAGTCCAAAATCTGTCACCTTGAGGTTCTCATTCTCATCCAGCAGCAGGTTCTCAGGCTTCAAGTCCCGGTGATAGACACCTCGGCTGTGGCAGTGATCCACTGCACTAATGAGCTGCTGGAAGTATTTGTGTGCAGCAGCCTCTGTGAGCTTGCCACTCTTGTCAATCTTGTCAAAGAGCTCACCACCTTTCACATACTCCATGACAATATATAGCTTGTTTCTTGTCGCCATGACCTCATGAAGATGAACAATGTTCTTATGCGCCACTAACCGCATTGTTGTGATCTCACGCTTTATCTGCTCAGAAAGCCCGACCTTGAGCACTCTGTCCTTGTCCATCATCTTGATAGCAACGCTCTGGTTGGACTCAAGGTTCCTTCCATAGTGCACCTTGCCAAACGTGCCTTTCCCCAGCAACCTCCCTAGCTCATACCGCTCCATCAAAGTCTTTCCTCTGCTCTCCATATCTTTATCTTGAAAAGTATACAAAACACAGGGCTACCTTTGTGTTGCCAAATCAGGTGGACAGCAGAGATTCAGCCCTCCTCCCCCATGTCATGGTCCATGACGGTGAACAGCATTCTTATGGCTTGGTCGTGTCGGAGTCTGAAGGGTGTGGAGTTGATGCAGATGCAGGTGAGACGATCGCTCACATCAAGAGACGAGCAGGCTAGCAGACCTTGCGGGACAGCGAGGTCCTTGATGTTGCAGCAGAGATCTCTTCTATGAAAGCACATCTTTCAGCATTCCCTGAGTTTTTTGCTTCTTGTTATGGATGTTGTAATCTGCACAAAAGAAAAGAAGCATTATTAGATTCTGCAATCGAGGACCACATGAAAAGCTAACAGTTTTCTATTAGCTAAGGGCCGGATAACAACAAAATCAACCAAATAAGTGCTTCACATAAAAAATTAAAAGTGCTGACTGCTGAGTGCGTATGTAAATCAACGATACAGTATAAAGTGTCAGGTAACGGAATAAGACAACAAGTTAGAAGAGGCCAACAAACGACAGCATCACTCATCATTCATCAATAGAAGGGGTAAAAAGAAGGCAAAGAGCAGGATCTAGGGAATCTGAATTTACTTTTTCTGCAAAGTGGTTATTTGGGTCCCAGAAAAATGCTATTCTGGTTTCTAAGAAACCAAGCCACAGCACAGTATATGTAGTGGCAACAGTTGACAGGGTATTAGGAAATCTAAGGCAACCACCACAGGATGCCAACACTCTGCATTAAAAATCCACTCGTTCACATCCACAAACAGAACTGGAGCGCGTGGTGGCGGCCGGCGGCTGGCATGAACTAAAACTGAAAGTGCAAGTAGATAAATAAGGAGACAGAGAGGGATGGATGGGTTGGTTGTTTACCTTGCGACGCCACGAAGACGAAGAGGACGATGAAGAGGGGAGTGAGGACGACGCGACAAGAGAACCAAAGCTTTGTGCGGGGGCTACACTTTTTTTCTGGCCTCCGGAATATATGGCCGTTGCCTGAGTTCCTCTGAGCTCGGCGACAACGAGGAGAGGAGGCTCCTCCTCTTATACAGGGGAGCCAGGGGTAGCAGGGCTAATCATAGGATTTGACGATAATGACCCTGGCCGCTGCTGCGTTTCCTGCGCACCGCATCGCACGTCCAGGTCCGCCCGGATATTCGCCGTGGCTGCGAGAAACTTGTGCTACTGGATCTGGGCAACAGCTAGGCCCATAATGCCGCCATCCGGATAGACTCGAGCAGTCGAGCTAGCCATCTTCGATTCCGTTTTTTTTTATTCATCTGCAATCAAGGCAGTAGTTAAAAAGACTGCCTTTTCTTCTTTCCCCCCCTCTCTGAACGAGGTTTGGTTTCAGTTATTCAGATTAGTAGTAGTAGAGTATTAACAGAGCAAAGATGGTTGGTCTGGTCGTGAGTCTCACGACCTCATCCTCCGCTGAGCTGCTGAGCTGTGCCTGTTCCATGTACTACCTTGGACCTCTTGTCCTGTCCAGTGTCCACCCATATGACTCTTGTCCACGTGTGCTGGATCTGACCATTCAGTGATCTTGTTTGTAACTACTCGGTTGGATTTAAATTGCAAGTTATTCTGACTTTTCTACATACATGACTTCTATTACGCATCTTTATATGCATTATGTCTACATAAATAGTAAAAATTATGTATGTAAAAAAAATCAAAACAACTTACAATTTGAAATAGAAGGAGTACTAAGCATACTTGCCAATTGCCATCCTCCCTAATCATTTTTTGTAACTACTGATAAAGTACTCTTCCCATTCTAAATTTTAAGATGTTCTGACTTTTTCAAATATATAGCTTTTATTATGTATCCAGACATAATATATATCTAGATGCGTACAAAAAAGTTATGTACCTAGAAAAGCCATAACGACTAAGACAGAGGGAGAAAATTGTAAGTCGATTTAGTTTTTCACTAACTTTATTATGTATCTACACATAGCATATATCTAGGTGTATAAAAAAAATATATATAAAAAGTTAAACGGATTTACGATTTCGAAGGAAGGGACGACAAATGGTGAATGCAGTGATATGATCTTTTTAGCCTATGCGATCCATATTACCAAAAAACATCTATGTTCTAGAGAAATACCATGTTCACCCTTGCGGCAAAGTACCATCTCCGTTGCGCTTCGTGGGCAAGCTCAATTAACAAGCTCAGCAATAATCTCAACAATGTAACACTAAGAATAGTGGCGGATCTAAAAACTTAGAAGAAGTGATTCAAGTCATCTTCAACTTGTAGAGCCTCTCTTTTCTTTCTTCCATGTCTACAAAAATTGGAAGAGGCTCCATTGGCTTGAAAGCGGTAGGGGGTGGGTGGGGGGGGGGGTGTTGAGCCCCCACGTCCTATTAGAGATGGCAATGGCCCCCAATCCCCGACTTCCCGTGAAGAATTCTTCTATTAGGGGATGGACATGCGGCCAATTTAATCTCCACGTGTCGGTGTTTCGAACAAGCACCGGCTAGTAAATTTATAATTATGCGTGTTAGGCCCGGATGATGCGCTAAAGGACATAAGATTTATACTAGTTTGGGCTGAATGTCCCTACGTCCAGTCTGTTGCTGCTCGTGTTATTAGCGCCGAAAGCGGTTCGTAGTAGGGGGTACAAACGGTCGAGAGAGGGACTGGTCCCAGGTCTCTGATGGAAGGGTCGAAAGGAGGCCAAGAGCCTGGTGGCGGCTTGGCTGTGTATGTGATGTCGAACTGAACTCTCTATGAGTTCGTCTGTATGTGAGTTCGGTGTCAAAAGTCGGTCTCTTTAGTGGGGAGCCCTGCCCTCCCTTTTATAGACCAAGGGGGGAGCAGGGGTTACAGATAGGAGAAAGAGAAAAATACCAATGGTATAGAAGGTCCTTCGAAGGATCCAGGTCTTCCTTTTTCCCTGCGCCTGCCCTGTATAACATGGCAGACAGTGTCAGAAGTGGCGTGTTCGATCTTCGCAGGCCATGCCCTGGCCTCTTTTTAGCAAGTGGGTGCATCCCATCCCGCCCCCACAAGCGGCGTGTCGAGCAGGGTTGTTGAACTCCGACCCCGTGGGGAGCGAATGTCGTGGTGACTGCTCGTTTTGCCATTGTAGAGGACGGGAGTCTCTCCTTGGAACGTAGTGGTTGTCGTATGTCCGTGTCGGGTTCTTCGTTTGGTGGTTTGAAGGCGGCGCCTACAACACTATAGGGCGAAGAGCATGCACCTGCAACACTATTCAGGCTCTATCACGCCTGGAAGGGTCTAAGTGCCCGTCCCGTCATGTCCTAACGGTACTTTCCTGTAGGGGCGTAGGACATGGTCCTTCGATGCCATGGTTGACCCGAACGTCTTGTCTTACCCTGTGCCTATCATCATGAGGGAGCGGGGTGCGGTTGTCAGGCAAGGCGGAGCCAGTCCTTGGGCATCGGGCGAGGCGAGGTCCGTCAGGCGAGGTAGAATCTAGCCTTCGGAGGTCGGGCGGGGCGAAGCCTGGCCCTCGGGGGTCAGGCGAGGCGGAGCCTAGCCCTCGGGGGTCGGGCGAGGCGGAGCCGTCCCCCAGCCGTCGGGGGAGGCGGAGCTGGCTGACGGGCATCGGGCGAGGCGGAGTCTAGCCCTCAGCCCTCGGACGAGGCAGAGCCGTCCCCCAGCCGTCGGGGGAGGCGGAGCTAGCCGACGGGCATCGGGGGAGGCGGAACCAAACTCCCGTCATTCGGGCAAGAAGCACAGCGGTGCTCTTGTCAGTTCGGGAGTTTTTAACGTTCGATGGTTATTAGTTCCACCTCCTTGGGTACCCCGGTATTAGGTCCCCGACTGTAGCCCCCGAGCCCCCGGGTGGTTCGGGCAGAATTGCCCCGGGGGTGTTTCGATTTCGTCGGAGTTAGTTCGCCAGTGGGTGCGCGCGAGCGCACCCGATGGGTGTAGCCCCCGAGCCCCCGGGTGATTTGAGTAGAATCGCCCGGGTGTGTTTCGATTTTGTTGAAGTCAATCCGCGAGAGGGTGTAGCCCCCCGAGCCCCCGGGTGATTTGAGTAGAATCGCCCGGGGGTAGTATCGGGCCCTCCGTGGGTAAGGCCGTAAGACTTGGTTTTTTTGTTAACTGGATATTTTAAGGGAATCGTGGTATCCCGTTCGCGGGGATTTCATTCAGGGCTGGCCTGATTGGGGCTTGACTGCGGATCGAGGCCCTAGCGATGCTTGCATCCTTGAGTCCTGGTCGTTTTGCGGGCCCATCCATCATTGGGATGGCCCTTGGGCTCCGGGGTCCTAGGTGGGCCGGAGAGAAAAAAACTTCATGGCCCGTATTCCCTTGGTGGGAAGAGAGTCCTGGTCCACCTGGGGAAGGCGAACCGCTCGGCGTGACTTTCGCGGGAAGGGATAGGGATCGCGTGCGCGTGTCCCGCGATGGGACACGACGGTGCGCGTGGCAGGCCTAGAGATCGAGGCGGACTGTTGCCCTTCTCGCATCCGTCGCCCCTATAAAATCATGGGGTTCGCCCCCAGGGTTCCGTATTTCGCCCCCTGGCCTTCGCGTCCGAAACCTCCGTCGCCAATCACCCTAGCCTCCTACGCCCGCACCACCGCCATTGTTGGGTTCACCTCCGCATCACAGCCACCGTTAAGCTTGCGCCCGCCTCGCAGTTTGTTGTTGAGCTCGCGCCCACCTTTCTTCCCGACGCTTCAATGGAGCTGTGGGGCAGATCTGGCATTACCTCTCGGCGTTTAGAGGGCCTTGTCTGCCGCGGCCTTCTTCGTCCTCAGTCCGCTGTCGTGGAGTGGCTGCTGCCTGGTGAGGAGGAGGCGCCGGCGCCGCCCGAAGGGTATGTCGTATCTTTTGCTTTCTTCCATGAGCGGGGATTTGCCGTACCCGCGCATAGATTCCTTCGGGGGCTGCTGGATTATTACCAGGTGGAGTTGCAACATCTTACTCCCAATGGGGTTCAACATATGTCGGCGTTTGTTGCCCTGTGCAAGGGTTTCCT